TTTCGTTTGCTCAAACAAAATGTACCGCAGTTATCGCCATTACCTCTTCTGCTTGGATAGTAAATAATTAATAAAGTATAAAATTAGTACAAATGTTCTAGAAAATTTGGACTCGTTGCAGAAATACGTACTGTTAATTCCAAGTTATATAGAAGTTGGCAACAGACGGCCAATAAATTATACCTCGCCTTCTTTTTCTTTGGAAGGAATGCATCAGGATTAATACTCTCGCTTAAAAATTAATCTCCTTTCCCGCCTAAATGTCACGTGCTTTATTCCACGCTTGGATCGCTCCGATGCGCATGCGACACGGCAAGTCCTGTAAATTTAGTTCGTTTGGCGCAAGCTAATTTACCGCCATTATTTATGCAAGAATAAACGTCCTTCTCCAAATGCAATCTTGGCCGCCCTAGTTTTGAAGTGTCTGCCATTTAGAGAGGGGATACCGCCCCCTTGTACGTTTGGATATATACGAAGGCTTGGCATTTTCCCTTCCTAATAAAGAATATCACAATTATATTCCCGCCAATGGGCCTATTAATGGTTCGTCAGAAGAGTTCGTGCATTTATAATTGGTCTCTTCATTTATTACTCGTAGCTTTTCAGTTGGCAGCAATTACAGGGCAACGGAAACAGGAAAACCGTTGGTTGGATCCATATTTTATCCATAAATGGAATTAGGAGGGAAGGTGCTATTAAGCATTTGTTAGCATTTGTAGTTGTTATCATGAAAGACCAAAAATGGGAGAATGTCGACATTCTCTGATGAATGTATCAAATACGTCGATGAAAGACCGAATGTTTAGTTATATTCTTATACATTCGGACCATCACCTGTGTATGTCGACAAACATAGACATGTTCTAGAAGAGACTGAAATGAGAAGTCGAAGCTAACAAGAAAGAAATTTTCCTCGATTAAATGCAATTGTGAAAGCAAGGGACTCTTGTGCAATTCAAAGTGACGTAGCAGTTTAAGTTCTTGCAATGAATGAGATTGTATAACGTCAGTCACATAATTAAGAAAGCTTATTATTGGTCTTAGTATTTTCTTTCCTCGTTTAGATTGTACTGATCGTTTTAAATTCAACAGTTGATTTACGTGTGCTGCTACGTAAGCTTTCTTCTATTTTGGCACATACCATATGTTTTAATTATAAACTATGATTTAAAAATGTAAAAAAATATTTTTATTCAACATCTGCCATCAGTATATGATAAATGTCAACATTTGCCGGTGTCGATCGAGTTGACAGTCGGTCAGCGAGTGCCGAGTGGGTCGTCGAGTGCACCGAAAGAGTCTCTTAGTGTATCGCGGTAAGTGCATCGTCGAGGGAGTGTGTTGAGCTCCGGAAACGACTGAACCGAGGAGTCGGGAGCTGTTATCGCCGAGTGCATCGCGAGTTGTAGCGTGGAGAGTCTCGAGAGTACGTGGAGTTCCGAGAACCGAGCAGAGTCGGGAGCTGTACTCTGGTAGTTTGCAGTGAAGCTGTCTCTAACGTTATAGCCAGATATCGTGGAGGCTGTGTCGCTGATTGTGTCAGCGTGTTTATAGTAGTTCTTCTACGACTGTAAACGTGACTTTGGAGCTGTCCTGATTAATATTGGCTAAATGAGGTGTGTTTCGATAGTAGTGTCGCCGTTATTCACTCCAAATACGCACGAACCCCGTAACGAAAGTACTAAAAGAGAGAAAATAACGCAACAATACTGATGGAAAGGAAAAAAATTCCAATTTGTATTTATTTCCTGTTCTAAATATTGCAAAGGTCTAACGTTTGGTATATATAAGAAACTTCTTTTGATTAAACTTTGTAATACAAGCGTAATGAGAGCTAAATATTAAATTCTTCAGACTGAAAGTTGTTTAAAATAATTGTAATATGTTGAACTAACTAGTAAATAATTTACTTTAATTAATAGTAAAAAAATAACAAAGTTATTTTAAAGAGTGAAACAAATACTGAGAATAAATAATAACAACCTATTTTCATTCTTCTATTTACTAACTGTTTCTCTGACGCATAAAGAGAAATGCGTAAATTTTTAAGTAAATAAATATAACTTCTTTATTTTTATAGCAACTTGAAGCTACAACACCTCATGGAGTTTCAAGTTTGATAATATTTATAACCCTAGAGGAAAATTACTACAAATTATCTTGATCACGAATGATAAATTCTCATCCGTCAATCCGGTTTTTTCTTACACTTATTAATTTTCAACTGAGAGTAAATCTCTCCCCATAGAAATGTATTCCAATTACATTACATACGTTATTCCCAATACATTACGTTAATCGAAAACAAATTATTGTACGTTACATTACAATACGTTATTACAAAGCAAAGCGATTATTCTTATTTAAAATTCATAATAAAATCGTAAAATATTCGTAAAAATTAATTAGATTTGTGTCTTCAAATCTTAGAGTAAGTTTAATATTACAAAGTAAGTTTAATTATTTAATATTACAGTTAAGTAAATACATTTTTATCTCTTACCACAGCTTTCAGCTACAACAGCTCACGATTTTCGATTTGATGAAGTTTGTAATAGTGAAAAATGACTAGAAACTATATTCACTATGAAATGAAGATGCTTTATCGATTAATATGGTTTCTTACACTAATTAATTTACGTTTACGGAAAAAAATGTGTTCACAAGCAAATAGGAAAGACGATTATTCTTATTGCAAAAATTCGTAACTGACGGTATTTATCTTTCGACAGATAATGAAAAAAAGCAAAGTTCAGGGAATTTGTATCTTCAAATCTTTAGGTAATATTTATCTCACAGTGTAAATTAATTAGCTTTATTTGTAGATTTTCTGGAGCGTTATCCAAGTTCGTTTCCTATTATTTACGAATTTTTTACCTATTATTTACGAATTATCTCGACAGACATTGTATTGAAATTAAGCTAAGGGCAATGCTGTAGTTTACTAATTTTTTGCAATAAATAATATATATATTTATTGCAAAATAATATAGAAATTATAAAGTAAATGCATGGATTTTATGTTTCCTTGAAATTAAGCTGTGTGTAAAACAACAACGGGTGAATGTTTTGCGGCATATATACTATGTATAGGGAATTTCAAAATTGATTGTATTCATGTGCATTGCATTAAAACTAAGCTACGAAAAGCTGTAGTTTGCGAATTTTTGACGACAATTTTAAGATTTTTTACAGTAAATTAGTTGGACGCATATTTCACTGAAATTAAGGTCTGGAAAAAACTACAATTTACGAATTTTTTCCAGCATGTATAAGTGGTTTCAAAATAAATTACCTCGACGCATATTACAATGAAATTTAGCTTTGTTAAAACTGCATGTAAATATACATAGATACATGTAAATACACATATTTTTTCTACTTTGATTTTGATTTTTATGTTTACATCGCTCGGAATCATAATAGCCTTTGACACCTTAATGTGTTTTTCAGCAGACGCGTCGGGAAAAAGAGACAGAGCAGTGGAACTACTAAAAAGGATTTGTTCCAAAAGAATTTTTTCGGAAATACTAATATACTCTTGTAAAAAGTTTTCTTCGCATTAAACAAGAGCTTCAATGGTCTGTTTCGGCGAAACGCGTAATGGTATTTAGCCTATTTCGTAGAACAGTTTTTTTCCCTTGAAAAGCCAACTGAGAGTGCGAGTGGGCTAATATACCATTTTTCCGCTATATTTTTTAATTTTGATTTTAATTTTTTTGATGCTTTTTGTGTCTTTATTAATTTTGATTTTAATTTTTATGTATTGGCATATTATATATTGGCAATTTTAAATTTTTTATGTATAGGCTTTTTATATATTGACATTTATAATCCATGTTTTTTTTAACTTTCTAATATATATATTTATTTTTTCCGTCCATCTTTTTTTCATGTGAGTTAACTTTTCACATTACACAACGGTCAGATTAATTAAATTTTTTTTTGAGCAATAGCAAGTCTTCCAGCACTAAAATTTAGCAGTTTTATCGCGCTTATACCGTTTTTCTAGTTTTACCAGGCAAATTTCTTATTGTTTATGTAGTACTATGTTACAACATTTCGTGGAGCTACAACTCCTGGTAACTTTTGAGCAAGGTTGCTGCAATGTTCCTACCTACTACTATTCTTTCAAATCTTTTTGCAGCATTATGCGCAAAAGTTTTTGAGACCAGATAGGTCTTTTGTCTAATTACCAGTTCGCTTTACATTTTCTTATTCAATTAAATATACATCGAGATATACTGAGTGATATATCAAAAGATGAATATATATAAAGATATATATATATGTTCATCTTTTGATTATATATATATGTTACGGTGAAACACCGAAATCTGGAGAATGTCGACTTTCACCGGTGAATGTCAACATTCACATAGTCTCTTGGTGTATGTCCGAAATATTTTCCAAATACTCTTATTTCTGACTTACACCGGTCAATGTCGACATTCACCATGTACTAATGGTGAATGTTGAACATATAACAATATTATATTTTCTTCTCCGTAATTCAGTTGCGAATAAACGCACTCGAGACTTGAAATAAGAACTCAAGAACATGAGAACCTAAAACACACAATATATTCAAAATGAGAAGGGAAAATAATAGAAGTTAAAAACTTACTTACAGTACGTTCTAAATGAGAAAATAAAATAACAGTCATAAAAAAACTTACTAAATTATGTGATTCAAATCTTGTTTATTGCAACAACTTAAACTATTATGGCACTTTATGATCTCCCTTTACGACTTTTACCAGAGCATATCTGTGATTGTCGACATACACCGGTGAGGGTCCGAATATGCAAGAATGTAGTGAAATATTCGGTCTTTCAACCGACGTATTTGGTGAATGTTGATATTCTCCGGTGAAAGTCGACATTCTCCAATTTCGGTCTTTCACGGTAACATATGTATTTAATAACAAGTTTGAAAGTAAATTACCTCGACGCACATTCATTGAAAAGTCTTAAAAAATGCTAAAATAGAATCTTACCGTTCATGTTTTGGTCACGTGACTCACAACATGCGTGCAGTTCATGCGGTGGCAAAAGGTTCCAGAAACCCGACCGCCGCCGGAAAGTGCTGGGGCGCAGCAGAGACAGAAACTCACACAGAGTAGAAGGAGCTAGGGGATGCGGGCGGTGTCGTCGCTGGACGAGTTGTGTGTGGCGGTTGCGGTTAACACCCGCGCCTCGCGTCCGCCGGGTTGCCATGGTGAAGCCGCCAAATTTCCGAGAATGATGGTCCCGTATCTGGCAACGCGTCTCGTTCCGTTGATCTCGGGCTCGTATTGATTGTGTGTGCACCTGTGACGAGGATTTGAATGAGCTGTCGTTGACGTGAATCATATAAGCGTCATTCCTTAACTAAGCTCTCAATTGCTAATTAACCGATCTTAATTATTTTACGTTAATAAATAGCAAAATTAACGGACGCGGTTGCTGCAAGTTGCGTAGTACAAGACGTTAAAAATACTCCTTTTATTAATTCCAGCTTTGCATTCGGTATTTACCAGACGGATATATTAAATGTATTTTTAACTGACGTCAATATATGCATAAAAATAAATTTCAATTAAAAAATAAATAAATATATAAAAAGCGAAAGAAATTCCGAAATGATTCTGATTTCAGCGTTGCTGAGCATCGCAAGTTACCAGTCTGTTCTTGGACTCACTCCTGTTTACAGAATTTTTTAGCCTTTTTAGCTCTATTATTGAACATCTTTCCACCACACTCATGGCACCAAAAATTCAAGAAAAAATTACAAATTAGGTTAAAACAGCATACCTTTAAACCTACCGGAAGGAATGTTATAAAATTTTTATACATTCCCTCTATTATCTCTTTTAAAACTACCCCCTCCCGGTTTGCGAACCTTTCGATTGACGAACGACTTTGAGGTTTTGTTTGGAAAAGCCTCGAAAGTTATCTGCTTAACCTTCGAGGGGGTGCGGCGCCGAATTTGCTGTCATTTCCGTTCAGCCGGCAGCGAGCTAAGCCCGTATGTTTGTTTAGAATGTTTCAATACATTTCATTAAAACTAAATTTGATCACATTTCATTGAGACTATATTTATTTTTTAACTTTAATACTGTCGGTCTCGCGGACCGACGCCAGCCAAACGAAAATTCCAGTGCCGGCCACACGAAACGTTCACTGCCGCGCTCAACGTGTAAAGGGAAGGGATGCCTTCGTGGAGGACTCTTTAAGGGAATCTGGCTCCTATGCACATGGGAATGGTGAGCCGACCATTAGGAATGAATTCAGTTCCTGAGTGCAGGTTTCATTGTAATTTTTTCATTCATTTTAAATATTTTTATTATAGCCATGTGTTATTTAAAGAAAATTAAATGATGAAGAATGTTTATTTGTATATTAATCTCTTTCGTATTGTGGCAAAACGACGGCACCTACAGCCACCAAAACTTTAATACACTTATTCCTTTACCCAAACATGGACATTTCGGAGATCGAATTTTTAATTTCGGAATTGCTTTTAACTTAATCTCATATTTTGTAAACGTTTAACAGATTTTTGTTTAACAAACTGCGCGATTTGTAAGTCATAAATGGCAACACTGTTCGAAATAAAACATTTTCAACTGAAACAGGTTGCCATTCGTCAAAATGTAAGATACTTATCTTTCAATTTTAATCCATAAATCCGGCTGTTTGAAAGAAATGTTGCCACTGCCTCAAATATAATATTTAATATCTAAACGCAACAGCCTGTTGCCGTTCAGTAACATATGACACATTTAACTTTCATATTTAACCTTTCTGTTACTGAGTAGTAAACCAAGAGATTAAAAAGCAATAAACTCAGTTCTTAAAAGTATAATTTTTATTTTTCAATGTAATTTGTTTAAATAATAATGCATTTAAAGCACGAAATATTAAACATTTTTGTTAAATCACACTAGCTGGACGCATTAAAATCATTATATACTTTTTTATAACTCATTTTAGGGTAAACTCATTTGCTATGTAGTGCTTCAATAAAATTTGGTTTACCGAAAATCTTTTACCCCAGGTCCCTGTAAGAAACTGTGCTTAAAGTTCTTTGACTTCTCTGAACTTCTTTAAAGTTAACAAAAACAATTCTACTTTGACAATGCAAATAAATGCAGAGTTTCGTTTCGAATAACAGCTGGCTGGAGGTTGAAGCACAATTTCTGTGTCGAATCTATTAATGTTTCTACATTCAAAATCTCCCCTTTGGAACAGGCACATTATGTTCACAAACAGTTATCAAAAAGAGTTTATGAAATGCTTCTTAGCATTACCATACATTAAGTACCTTTAACGGGAAAGGAAGTAGAAATTATAGGCTGAAAAAATTACAAGGAAAGTATTGGTCAACATGCAACCGGTAACTAGTACATACAATTAAGCATTGTCAGTAATCACGAAATGGCAGATTGACTAAACAGGCAAAAGATTATCTTTCTACTGCTTAGAAACGTAAGTCATTAAATTTGAATAAATCACTGGAAAAAGCACTCTTAAAATTTGTTATGTGGTTAACTTATAACATGTCGAAAATTCGAAGCGAAAAGACGAAAAGACGATAAGGGTTATTGAAAAGGATAAATTATTAAACGACCTTAGTGTTCTTGGAAACAGTCAGTTATCAAAAAGATAAGAAGACGAAGATAATCCCTCTGGTCTGAATCAAATCACATCCATAGTTCATTCACCTTCTTGACTTTCAGCCCCAAATTACGTCCCTTCAGAATGTCTACACGCACCATAGGAACATAACTAAGTAGATGTTATGCAGTGGCTTCATGTTTCTTGCACTTGGTACAAGTTGAGAATGTTTTAGTACCACAGTAAAAGCTGAGCATCTTTAAATGTCTTAAATTGACAATTGCATAGCAACCCCTGACCGGAAACGTGGAAACGTCAGGGGTCAGTGAAGCCCCAAAAGAATGATTTATTTGAAGTATTTATTGGACATCATGAGAAGAAATTGTGTACATATGAATACAGGTCTAATGTTTGCACTATCAGACGCTAAACATGCCTGATACCGACCCGAACACCGACTGCCGGACATGGTCGAACACATCAGGAATTAATTTGATTATAGCAGCAATGCAGACGAGTCTTGCCACGAGATCCATTTCAGACTCTGTAGGATCATGATACACGATACCTTTGAGGGCTCTTTACAGAAAGAAATAAAGGCTCTGTAATCAGGTGAGCGTAGGAGCCAGGGAACCGGTTCACCTAGCCCAGTCCATCGGTACGGGAATGTTCAGTTGAAATGCCTTCGAACAACCAGTCCAAAATGAGCAGGCGCCCTATCATGCTGGAACCAATTGTCTCGCCTCATATTTGCTGGAACATTGTCAAGTCAATCAGGAAGAACGTCTCCATAAAGGTGCGATAATTGACGGCGGTCATGTGGGATAGTAAAAGGTATCGCGCAACCAAGCAGTCGCCAACCAAACCTGCCCAAACATTTACTGGGAAGCGACGTCACCTCATGGTGGTTCTCTTGAGCCCAAAAATACGCACCGTGCTGATTGAATGCATCATCTCTGTTGAATGTAGCCTCATCAGTAACATAACAACACATAAGCTGGGAAATTCAGATCTCGGGCACTTTGCTGCAAATACCACTGTGCGAAACGCACACGTGCCGGGTTATAATCGAGGAGCAGTAACTGAACCATATGAAGATGAAAAGCGTGTAAGGACTCGGCGTTCAAAACACTACAATAAGCACTTGTAAGGCAGACCAACGGAGCGTTTATGCTGGTATTGGGGTTAGTCTCCACAGTATCCAACACACTTTCTTCCACAACAAACAAAAGCATTGACCGTGGCCCTCCTGTTCTTTTTACTCTTAATGACCCTTACTACCACAAATTTCGATGCACACAGGCAGATACACTATGATGCAGTTGTATATCTAGGAAGCGTTCTCCATTAAATTCGTTCAGTGGCCCGTCCCTCAGCTATTCCATACACTAAGTGCACGTACGTATACCAACACCAATATTCAACTACCTCTGCTTTACCGTGCGAAACACGATATCAACAATTCAACTGAAATACTGCTTTTTTCCGGTGCATGACTTTGCTAGAACCCTAACAAGGTAAAGATCCTTGAAGGCGTAGGCAAGGAGGGGGACAAGGAAGGGGATAACCTTTCGTTACTAGCAGAATACTTACTGCAAGGTGGTACTGCTAGCAGTCATTCTTGAATGAAGGTGTACGAGAAGGCTATGTCTGGAGTGTGCAAGGTATTAAGTCACTTGATAGGTGCGCCAATAGGGACTTCGAGCGCAGAGAGCTTATTCATTGGCTTCTTGTGGATCCCAGTGCAGTCTTGTGGATGAAGTTGAGAGTGGTCTTTGAGACTTTGAGAGCCAGTCCTTAAGCTTTGCTGAAGGAGCTTAGCTATTGTGTCTGGTAGGTCATGTGATTAGCTACATCGATATTTATCTTTCGAAACCAGCATGAAGCGGGATTGGTAAAGTCCATACAGTACAGATGCGATAAATTAAAATAGGAAAGTACGTAAACACTATATATAATATGTGCAGTTGCATCTGAGTTACTGAAAGTCCATTGTCACTTCAGTGGCATAAAACAGTTTAGGTACAGGTTCCACTATATGCCATGATTATTGTGTATATTTGCACAACTCGTTCAAGCTCGCTGAGGTGGTGTCCGAAAGGATGCATGACAGTAAAGGCAGATGACTGATATAGGCTGAAGGCAGAGACATGAACGGAGGTAAAGAGAGATGATTTTTGTCATAGAAGCAGCATCCAGCATCTTGATACAATTAGCGCAAAAGCAGAGCAAGAAATTTGAAGTGCAAACCATGAAGTTCTAGCTTCTGTTGAAGTGTCCAATCAGATGTGATATTGAGAAGTCACGTCAATGAAACAGTGCTTGCTTCAGTCTTCACATTTGAGAAAATGTACTTTCCAGGCGATTACTTATTTAATTCCATGCATACATTTTTATAGCAAAATGTTCAGAAAAATACGCACAATATTTCTAAACTGCAGTAGAATATTACCAAAGAATTAATTTGAAGTAGTAACTTTAGCTGTATCGTCCATTCAGATGAGAAAGAGAGGTTACGCGGATAGGACGATTCTTTCACCAGTATT